TGTAATAATGGGAGTAATAATTGGCAAGATTTTCATAAAAAACATATAATATTTCATAGGAATATTGAAATATTATTTCTTTCCCTATTCATTTGTTGTGTCTCCCAAAATGCGTAATAAACATGCTTTTAGTCCCGGTGTCCTCATATGAGGACATGTATGAAATCAACGTCCTGTTTCGTAACAGAAAATCATATTTTGATTTGAAACCCCATAACATTTTCCTTAGATGTTGATTTATGACAGTTTAAAAATTAGTCAGATTGAAATGATAATTACAAAATATTATCATATTTCCATAAGAGTGTCACTAAATTAATATCAAACACTTCTGACGACCAAGGAGAGGGAGTGTCATGGTGAAACATCCAAACATTTAGTATCTCTGAAAAGCCCTGAATGTGCTCTCTACAGGACATCCAGACTTCAAACTGTGGCATGTATAGTCTCAGAAAAATTCACTAAAATATAAATGTCCTCATATGTGGATGCAGGGTCTCAGGAGGTTACGATGATTTCTGAAGGATCATGTGACACTGAAGACTGGAGTAATGATGCTGAAAATTCAGCTTTGCATCACAGGAATAAATTACATTTTAAAATATATTCACAAAGAAAACAATTTATGTTTTATAACGGTTTTAACTATTTTTGATTACATAAATGCAGCCTTGGTGAAAAAGAAACTTTTCAAAAACATTAAAAATCTTACCAACCACAAATTTTTGAACTGTAGATTTCCTTAAATTTTGAGGGAGTGGTCATGGTGAAACATCCAATCATTTGGTATCTCTGAAAAGCCCTGAATGTGCTCTCTACAGGACATCCAGACTTCAAACTGTGGCATGTATAGTCTCAGAAAAATTCACTAAAATATAAATGTCCTCATATGTGGATGCAGGGTCTCAGGAGGTTACGATGATTTCTGAAGGATCATGTGACACTGAAGACTGGAGTAATGATGCTGAAAATTCAGCTTTGCATCACAGGAATAAATTACATTTTAAAATATATTCACAAAGAAAACAATTTATGTTTTATAACGGTTTTAACTGTATTTTTGATTACATAAATGCAGCCTTGGTGAAACAGAAACTTCTCAAAAACATTAAAAATCTTACCAACCACAAATTTTTGAACTGTAGATTTCCTTAAATTTTAGTCTAGACAAATGTCCCGCCAGTTATTCCTGTGGAGTGACTCACAAAATTATTTTCTAAATCGGGATTCTTGAAAGTACAGCTAATCAGAACCCCAAACACTTTTTAAACTTGAAAGTTCTAATAAACACAAAACGCTTTTTCCTTCTGTAATATGACCAATTTCTGAGTCCAACAAGACATTAAATGAGAGAAACTTTTTTTTTTTTAATTGGGAAGTGTCTTTATATCTCTATGAAAAAGTCTACGACAGATGGTTGGAGAATTGTTAAACTAATTGTTCAAAAAAAGAACCAAAATATGCATTAAGAGTAAACGGAGTCAATTCTGACTTCATGTTTAATTTAAAATAATTTCTAATGTTTAATGAAAATGAACTTGCACTGGGTTCAGCCTGCTTCAGTTTGACAAAACAGTGTTAACTCACAACCAGATTCGTCGCTTCCATCCCTGCAGTCTTCAGAGCCGTCACAGCGCCAGGCTTTCGGAATACACTGCGTGTTAGAGGCGCATGGCCACTGGAACTCACCACACTGCGCTGGAGTCTCCTTACAGTTCTGTCTCACGTGGGAAAGGTGGTCAAAACTCTTTAATCATTTTATAATGTTAATGTATAATAATGTGCTTTTGGTCATTTAATGCATGGATTTCCTAACGCACCTTCTCATCTGTGCCATCCTTGCAGTCCATCTCTCCGTCACATATCCACTCGTCCAGCAGACACTCCTGGCTCTTTGGACAGCGGCGCTGCGTGCTGCATGGCGGAGGTTCAGCGCAGTCCTCCTCGTCTGAATGATCTCTGCAGTCCGGGTGTCCATCACAGCGCATACTGACCAAAACGCACTGACCGCTGCTGCACAGCCATTCAGCACTGCTGCAGCTCTCCTCACCTGCAGGCCAGGACGGGTCATTCCATTATGATGAAAATCAATGTTTTTGATTTTTACTTCATAACCTTGCTGTTGCTCTCTATTGTAAAGCTGATCTCAGACATGCAGAAACAGTATGCATAATGGACCAGTGTTATTTTACTATTATTTATATACTAAAATAGTATTCAACATTTTGAATTAGATTTAATTTCCAGTTTTCATTTTAATTCAAGTAATTTTTTTATGTGCTTGTCATTTTTATTCGTTTTTATTTCTTTGCAGTTTTAGTGATTTAATCACTTTATTTCAATTCGTTGCCAAGGTGACATTTCTAATTTTATTTTTTCCATCTAAAATTCTTTATTTAATTTATGCTGTAATTCAATTCATAAGAATGATGAGAGTAGTTTCAGTTAACAACCACAACAACACTAATGGACAAAAAACAATGGACAAAAACCACTGTAATGGACATAAACCAGTATAAATATTATAGTTTCCATTTTAAATTTTAGCAACTGTTGTGTGCTATATTTTTTCGGTTTTATTAATTAAACATTTTCAGCTAGATGCCGTGGCAATATTTCTAATTTTCATTTAAATATTTAATCTAAGATTCATATTTTATTTCATTTATGTTTTAACTCAATATGTTTTCTTCAATTAATGAGAATAGTTTTAATAGTTTTAGGTAACAACAACAACATTGTAATAGACAAAATACCATTAACCCCAAAAATATAATTAATATACTGGTACTATATTTTCCATTGGAATTTGAATTCAAATGTAATTTTGTTATAAATAATTTTAATCCGTTTTTTTTTTTATATTTCAGTTTTGGTAATTTAAACATTTAATTAGTTAGGTGCCAATATTTGACTTTTTTTTTTTTTTACATTATATTTTTTACTTTTTTCCATTATATTTCAACTTGATTTCAATTAATATTTTTTTAATAGTTTTAGTTACTAATAACAACAACATTGTAATGGACAAAAATAAAAATCTCATGTTTCTATTCACAGCCACAACAAAACCCTACCACAGCTGGCCTCATCGCTTCCGTCCACACAGTCTGCGTCTCCATCACAGACAAAGGATTCTGGGATACAACGGTTTTTATCGCAGCGATGACCGCATCCCTCGTCCGGCTTGAAGCAGTCGACTTCATCTGAGCGATCCTGACACTGAGCCACACCGTCACACACCTGCCGGCGCTCAATGCACTTCTTACCATGTGCACACTGAAACTGACCTGAGAATATTAACATGTGAACACCAGAGCAGGAATTGAAAAATAATTTCTAACCATGTATAAGTGGATGTTGTGAGAGGCTGCCAGTGTGTTGCTATGTGGTTTCCTCACCAGATTCACACTCCACAGAGCACTCGTCTTCATCAGACCCATCATTACAGTCATGCTCGCCATCACACACGTGATTATAGAGTACACAATCCGTCCCATCTCTACATAACTTAGAGCCGATTGAACAGCGTAGAGGTCCTTTAGTTACAGGAGCTTTTCCTGAGACTTCATCCTCTGTTGTCTTTTCCTCCTCGACGCTATCATCATCATCTTCATCAGGGCTGATATCTGAAAAGAGGAAACTTTAAGACTAAAGGCATGTTTTTGGAAACTTTTGCTCTGAAGTACAATTACAACAATTTTTTTTTTGAAGTAGTAGTAACCAAACAATTTTGGGTCCCATTGACTTCATAGTATGGAGAAAAAATACAGTGGAAGTCAATGGAACCCGACTACTTGGTTACCAACATTCTTCAAAATATGTCCCACAGATGAAAAATGCATAAAAGTTTGGAATGACATGAGGGTGAGTAAATAACGACACTTTTCATTTTTTGGTTGACTATACCTTTAAGGGTGCTGCATGTAATTTTGTCTGAACTAAAGCAAAAAACAAAACAAAACAAAAAAAACACATGTTTGCAGATATTTAGGAAATGTGCAAAGTTCACATACTTGTTTCTCTGAAAATCAATGCTACAGCCAGTTATTCATCTTTGAAATGCGTGTTCTGTGTCAGGATGTCTGTTTTTGTTTTGGTCTGTGTGATTCCGTCCACTGCCAATTTACCCTGGGTTGCCAGTTGGTGGAAAACACAGCATATTACAGCCATGGAAGCCAGCAAAGGAACTGGGTCAGAGATCGCAGATCCTACCCGACCTATAAAGTCTTGGCATCCATCTAAAAAACATTGCTTTGTTGCCTTCCATTGTTAATTGCACTCATTCATGTTGTGTGTCTTCAACCTGGCAACCCGTGTGAGCGCTGAGTCTGAGGAGGAGGAGGGAGCAGGGGCCTGTTTCATAAAACAAGTTTACCAAATAAGCCAGGCTTATTTCAATTAGTCTGACTTATTTTGAACCAAATCAACTGACAATATGTCAGACTAAATGAAGTAAGCCTGGCTTATTTGGTCAACTAGTTTTATGAAACAGGCCCCAGGAGAGACAACTCTCTCCAATATTTTGAAATTTGGACTGCAGTACCCATTTCAACCACTAGCTGTCAACATTACATACTGCACCTTTAAGTACGCAATGTAATGAGATCATGTGACAAATGTAACACTCTCAGAAAGAAAGGTACAAAAACTGTCACTGGGGCAGTACCTTCTCAAAAGGTACACCGGTGTACACTGTTTACCTCTAATGGTACATATTAGTAGTACCTAAATGGTACATATTTGAACCTTTTGAAAGGTCAGCTTTTGTACCTTTTCCCCCCTCAGAGTGTAGGGTTAATTCAGGATAAAAAAAAGTTGTTTTTTCCCGGTCATCTCAATGACAAAAAATGGCCCGATTTACCTGAATTCACCTCACTACTTTTGAAAATGTTTATTGTAGCATATAGTTTAGTTTCACATACCATTATGTGGGAAAAATAGTAGGTAGTATGCACTAATAAGTGTGCTTGTTTACATTCGGAACCAGATGATTTTACACGTTCTATTTACAATCTAGTAATACTACTTTTTAACCTAATTCAAACCCCTACCACAGCTTTCCTCATCACTGCCGTCAGCACAGTCTGCGTCTCCATCACAGACAAAGGATTCTGGGATACAACGGTTTTTATCGCAGCGATGACCGCAGCCCTCGTCCGGCTTGAAGCAGTCGACTTCATCTGAGCGATCCTGACACTGAGCCACACCGTCACACACCTGCCGGCGCTCGATGCACTTCTTACCATGTGCACACTGAAACTGACCTGAGAACAGATGGAAATACAATGCTTTTGAATGTAGGTGGGGGGAGTGAATGTACAGCGCTCTCTCCCACCTTCAATACCATGACTGAGGTACCCTTGAGCAATGCACCGAACCCCCAACTGCTCCCCGGGCGCCACAGCATAAATGGCTGCCCACTGCTCCGGGTGTGTGTGTGTTCACTACTGTGTGTGTGCGCACTTAGGCTGGGTTAAATGCAGAGCACTAATTCGGAGTATGGGTAACCATACTTGGCCACAAGTCACTTCACACTTTAAAAAATACAATGCTTTTGAATTTTGCAAACTAAAAAAATAAATAAATCAGGCAGCCTACCAATTCGTTTTTATGTAAGTAATGTGCAGATTTGCTTTCCAAATCGAAAAAATGGTCATCAGAACTTAACCAGTTAATATGAGCATCAATTTATTGTTTTCACAATGAACAGATTTATTGATTCTAAGCCATTTGAATAAATGCATTTTAAAAAAAATATATTATTTGAATAAAATAGATGCAAATAGTTAATAAATTATGCCCTTTTTTTGAGTGCAGAAATCTTGTATGCTTAATAACTGACAAATATGCATCACATTGTTTATTAGTTTAGGCCTATGATAAAAGCGTTTAATAGTTTGTGTTAAAAATGTGTAAATGGATGGAATTTTTAATATGGAATCAAATTCAAATCTTAAATGTAGCCCTTTATTCTTTATTCGTAGGTGGGGGGAGTGAATGTACAGCGCTCTCTCCCACCTTCAATACCATGACTGAGGTACCCTTGAGCAAGGCACCGAACCCCCAACTGCTCCCCGGGCGCCACAGCATAAATGGCTGCCCACTGCTCCGGGTGTGTGTGTGTTCACTACTGTGTGTGTGCGCACTTAGGCTGGGTTAAATGCAGAGCACTAATTCGGAGTATGGGTAACCATACTTGGCCACAAGTCACTTCACACTTTAAAAAATACAATGCTTTTGAATTTTGCAAACTAAAAAAATAAATAAATCAGGCAGCCTACCAATTCGTTTTTATCTGGGTAATGTGCAGATTTGCTTTCCAAATCGAAAAAATGGTCATCAGAACTTAACCAGTTAATATGAGCATCAATTTATTGTTTTCACAATGAACAGATTTATTGATTCTAAGCCATTTGAATAAATGCATTTTTTTTTTAATTATTATTTGAATAAAATAGATGCAAATAGTTAATAAATTATGCCCTTTTTTTGAGTGCAGAAATCTTGTATGCTTAATAACTGACAAATATGCATCACATTGTTTATTAGTTTAGGCCTATGATAAAAGCGTTTAATAGTTTGTGTTAAAAATGTGTAAATGGATGGAATTTTTAATATGGAATCAAATTCAAATCTTAAATGTAGCCCTTTATTCTTTATTCTAGGCCCCTGGAAATCAGTTTGAGTGCCAAAAATTGTACTCTAATAAAAATGTATAAAAACATACCTATGCTGCAAACAGCAGCACATTCATCTTCATCAGAGCCGTCAAGACAGTCATTCTCCCCATCACACACATGACTGTACAGCACACACTCTGCTCCATCCTTACAGGGTTTGAAGCCCAGTCTGCAGTGCAGGGGAACACGAGCAGAAGCAACTGCAGCCTGCACACATTCAGCTAGAGCACAAACAAGTCAAAGCAAATGAATCTCATGCAATCTCAGCACAGATTCCCATTATACTGTAAAGCAGTCATTTGAAATTCATTTTCTATTTAAATGAACACACATTAAAGACATTACTACAAATACTACCAAGATGTATAAACACGGTCTACACATAATTGTAGTTTTTGTTGAGGGAGAAACTGTTATTAAAGTAATGCCACAACGCAAAAAAAGTTAAATAAGAATAATTGCCTGCATGATCATAATGCAACCTGGTTTTTATGAGATTGGCATGCAGGCAGCTTCAAATTTTAGCTAGATTTTGTAGCCTATTTTAACGTATGCAAATAAAGGCAATGCCTCTAAGCATGAAAATTACAAAGATAGCCTACTATATACAGTAGCTCTTAATAAGTAAATAGGAAATAGTCTCGATTGGTATTAGTTTGTCAATTCGCATTCAGTGACTATTGCTCAATTTCTAGACAAGAAGGTAAATGTTAGACTGAAGGTTACTGTGAGACTCGCATCTGACCTCTCAGAAGCAGAAAGATCCCTGAAGCGACATTCAGCAGCACAAACAAACACATGACTGCAAGGAAAAGCGGGTCAAACCGTCTCGGGTCGAGATGTGGCGCTTTAATCGAGCGAACAGCTGAGATCGATGCGGCTTAATTGATCAGATGACAACAGACCAATGAGTGATGACAGATTTAATAGTGAAAATACGTTTAATAGACTTAAAATACTGTGTAATTGAATTCATTTCTATAATAAAAATTTTTTTTTTATTAATACTAAATTTTAGTTAGGCTACTACTAAAAAGTCATAGGCCTAATTAATATTAAGAATTAATTATATAACAATAATAATAGCCTAATAATAATAATAATTATTATTATTATTATTGTTGTAATTATTAAAATAACGAATACGCGTAATAACCCATGGTAACTTACGTAATTTTTTAATTAATTTATTAATTGAATGTATATTAATACCGTTAGTAGGCTACTTCATTAAAATTAATTAATTATTATAATATCATATCACTCAATTATTTTACTTATTTATAATTTTATTCTATTAGTTAGTTGTCCCGTTGTTACGTCTGCAGCACTGTGGTTTTGTAATTGACATTCCCAGACACTAGAGGGCGATAAAGCGCTGCTCTCTCTTTTAAAACCAGGATCAAAATGTCAACAGAGAGAAGAAACGCGCAATAAAGTAGCATCAAATGACTTTGAACTTTGCCTCATCGATAGCATTTCTTCTAACTTGATTTGTAAAGAATGTGAATGATGAACCGGAATATGGATCATTTTAGCACACTTATCGCCGTGGTGTCAGGTGTAACTGTGTTGTATCTCTTTCACTCAGTCTTTTACGCTTCTCACATCTCATTTAATAAAACTTGCACAGTCTTTGACTCCCAGAAGCATTTGCCAGGTTCAGTTTACCTCATGACCAGATACATTTATGAATCTCTCCGCAAAAAACGAGGAACAATGAGGAAAAACAAAGACACAAATGACGAGCTTGTTTTCACTTTGATCAACTGCAGGTAAGTTGTTGACTCAAAGAAACTTTAATGTACATGTAATATAATATATTTAAAAAACTTTATTGTTTATATATTTTATGTTAGATTTTTTATTTACAAACTAAATGAAAATAGAGTGCATGTACTGTATATTTTAATGGCCGCTCGTTATATATAGTCATAATGTTAAACATGTTAATGAATGTTAATTATAACGTGTTTTCCAGTTGTTAATTGTTGTGGATTTGTCTGTAGGTATGATGCGGTATCTTTGAGGAGGTTCTGCAGTGTTTCAGGTTATGGTTGGGACTATCCTGACAGTGTCTTCAGAGACGTTCCCTTGTGCTACCCTGAGTTTCTCTTCACCAGACTTCTCACTATGATTGTGTGCTCAGAGAGATTCAAACTAAGCCCTTTGGGTAAGATCTTCTGGCCTTTTCAGCACATGGGTCAAGCACAACCCCTGTCAACAAATAGAAAGGAATTTTGAACATATTCAGAATCAGTCCTACTAAATCCTCGAATCAAATAAGAGCCTACTACTGAACTTATTTGTTAAAAAATATATTTTTTCTGGTCAGATTTTATTTAATTCATATATGATTTTTATTTGACCTCTATATGATACAAATTCAATAATAATTCCTTTAGAATTCTAAAATAAAATTTCTCAAATCAATCATTGTATAATATTGCAGTGTATAATATACAATCAGTGTATAATAATATAATATCAGCCGGTCATTATCACAAAATAAACAGCAATTTGACGTATGAAAATATTGTACAAGAAATATTTGTCACCAGAATGCCTTTAATGACCAATCGAATAGTCCAGAGAGCTGTGGAGAAATATTATATATCTGTTAATAAACTTACAGAATCCAGATCAATTACAAAGAAAATCTTTTTAATGCTAAAGGCACATAACCCAAGAGATGAGAATAAATATGTGATGATTATGTGATAAAATATGATAATTAAATGTGCTATGCCTAGTGTAGTATTATAGTTTGTATGAATATTTTTGAATTAGTTGTCATTTTTATATATTCTGGTTTCATTTTAATTTTTGTTGAACATTTTTGTTGTGTTTTTGTCATTTTTATTAGTTTTTATTAAAAAAAAACATGTTTATATAGTTTTTTTAGTTAAACTAATGAAAATGTTGCCTTGGCAGCAAGCTGAAATTAAAAACAAATATTTATTATGTTTTATAATATATTTTATTTCAGATAATATTTACTTTATTCAAAGTAATGAAAATGTTTTTATTGTTTTTGTTTTAGTTAACTATAATAACCCTGGTTATGCCCCACTGGTGGCCATTAAAAGGAGAATCACTGCTACTTTCTGCAGGTCTGTTGAGTGTCTGTGAGAGTTTGAGTCTGAGCGATGCCTTGGATGAGCTGAAGAGAGGGACGTTCTCCCTGCAGGCCAGAGTGCTGGAGTACAGGACTGTTAGTGCTGGAGTGGAGGTGGATCTCGCGTTAACTGCATCTAGAGATCAGCAGACCGTTTGGAGCAGCACACTGACTCTACTCTCTCCTAACAATACATACAGACCTGATGCTCAGCCTGACTTGGAGATCACCCACGGTAAGGAACCCAATGGTATTGAAGACTGCAGGCATATCAGTGGCTGTGAGGAGCTGTTTTTACATGTCCTAATGCAGGACACTTTCATCAGACATTTTCATTTACTGTATGAACTGAACCTGTGTCTTTTTCCAGATCCAGTCTCAGAGAGATGCATCAGCCTGGTTGTTCCTTGGTCCACAGGTGTGCGGAGCACCTGGGTGTATGGTGACCTTTGCCCTCTGCCTGTGTTTGTTTGGCTGGGATTTACCCGTCCCACCATACACCCGCTGTGGATGTTCTCCAGGTGCATGGCAGAAATGGAGAAACACAAAGGTAAGTAATGTTTGAAGGCCTATTCACAACAACAGCAAAATGACAACATGCAAATTGACAAAAAACGCCTCTTTACCACGCAGATTTCTTTGTAGGTCCGTAGGAATACACTGCTTGAATGCATGATGTCTTTCACTCCAAAAATTTGCATTGTGTAAATTGTTCCTCTCAGAATTATTATTTATTAATAATAAAAATAATGACATTATTACTATTATTTTATTTTATTAAATAATACAAGTATGTATCATTATATTTATTAATATATTAAAATATATTAATATATTAATGTTAATGCATTAACATGATAATTATATATATGTAGGAAGGAAATTATAGAACAGGAAATGACATCACAGAGAATACATTTACATTACATTAATGCATTCAGCAAACGCTTTGATCCAAAGTGAGAAGAGAGGAGCAAAAGCAAATTGTCAAAGAGCCTACAATTTTTGTAATATACAGTTTCAGGTTTATTAGACAACTGGAATAGAAAGCTAGAATCATCTCTCAGATTATCAGTTATTTTTTCCTTTTTTTTTTTTTTTTTTTAGGAGTTGAAGTGGTGAGAGCTCCTCTGACTGTGTCAGTCTGTTACAAACAGCCTGTGTCTTTACCGAAGAAAGTCAACATCAGAGTCAGTGAAAACACTAGTGTAACTTTAAGCACAGCATCATTTTCATTGGAGGATCACAGAACCAGGACACTGTACCTCTCAGGACAGATAAAACGACAGACAAGCGAGAAAGCAGAATGATGGTGATGTAATCCTGACAGAAAGGATACTAAGCACTCAACGGCAGGGGTGTCAGACAGGGTTATGGTGGAACTGAGTAACAGAGGCCATCACAAACAGTGATCTTAGCCTGAAACCTAAAATACAAGGGCCCTAGGAAATGACGCTCCTATTTAATGGTGCCATAGTATACGATGATGATATTTGAAATGTCTACTTTAAAGACAATTAAGGGGACTTATCATAGAGAACAGGAATCCTCTTGCTCTATTGAACTGAAGGAATCAATGTCCTGTGTAGACAGACTCAGGTCACAACACTTGCTCCTCAGTCCACTCTTACAGATACTGTATAATAATTCACATATAAATTCATATTCTTTATTCAGGAACTTGACCCACTCTGATGAGCTACAGCAGAGGTTAGTCAATCGTAACATCAGCCATTTACACACAGAAGCCTTAAATATACAGAATCAAATCTGCCTGATTATTCCTAAGGATTGGAGAGAGGTTTGAAAATGGTCATATATGACTAAATAAAAGGTAAACATGAATTTAAAAAATGCTACAAAATTGTTAAATATTTCTAATTTAAATAGGGTTATATTCTATACTATTGCTTTTAATTCACTATTGTATAATTTTTTGAAAATGGTCATATATGACTAAATAAAAGGTAAACATGAATTTAAAAAAATGCTACAAAATTGTTAAATATTTCTAATTTAAATAGGGTTATATTCTATACTATTGCTTTTAATTCACTATTGTATAATGCGTAATGCATTGTACATGTGCAGTCAAATCACTTTTAATCAGTGTCTGTGTCAGTAGGGGAGGAGTTTGAGTGGAGGGCCGTTTCTCATGAATATTTCAGTCTCTCCTCTTTCCTCAGTCTTTCCTTATCCTTTCCCTATGCATGCACACATGTGTGTAAGTGCTCCATGTGTATTATTCATTAGTATGTGTTCAGCGTATGAGGAGGGCTTTCTCATAAAAACTGCTTTCAGAACAACTTAACGTGTGTGTATACACACAGTATATAAAATATACAATATAAATATATTTTATATATTATGCCAGTAAATTGACCTTGTTCGCACTGAAACATTTAGGACCAGTTAGTTAGGAAATACTTAATTATAATGAGGCGTTATCTATGGTAATTGTATTGTCTCTTATTATGGTCAATGTAATATATTTCATTTTGGGAGACAGATGGATAGAGACTTTTAAAATATTAATTTGGTTTATTTTTTTGCAAGCATCCTAAATATATAATTAATATGTCTGTCATAGGACAGTTATTTGTACCATTTGCTTTAATATATATATATAGTCAAGAATTCATTATCCATGTATATAGTAAATTCTTGACTGTATATACAGTAAATAAAACTATACAAATAGCTTGTCTAAAACTGTTGTGTAGTGACTGTACTCATAGCTTAATAGACATCATTAATTTATAAAGGCCTGATTCTGTCGTGTGTAATCAGTGTGTTTGGAGCAGTGAGTACGAAAGCTGCTGTGATCAAAGAGGAAAATAAAAGCGTAAGTTCAATATTGTCTATTAAGCTTTGGTAAAACTTTACTATTTTATTTTTAAAGAGAATTAGGCTGCTTTCTGTAGTTTGTGCTGAATTGTTTGCATCTAAACGCTTCTTGATATGCAGATGTGTCTGTCTTAGTGTTCCTCACGAGTGACAGGCGCTCCAGATAGAATGTCTTTCTTCTTCTGAAAATGCCTTGAAGTCTCTTGGGAACTTTGAGTTATTTTTGCTGCTTTTAAAGGTTTCGTGTCTTTATTCATCCTGTTGGAGAGCGCTGGGGAAAAAACTGCCCACCTCCCATTTTCATTCCCTCATCCACTCCTGTTTCTTCATCTTTCGGTTCTCTCAGTTTGGTAAAGCATTTGTGGTTGGACGTTTTGCGTTACTTTCTTGTATGCAACATCTGGAGCATTAATGGTGCTGTATCTGTGGATACTAAAAGTAAAAGGATGCTGAGGTATTAGTGTGATAGACGAAGGGCAAAAGGTTAATTCCTTTGTGGTAATCCTAAATCCATAGAGGATTTAGAGGAGATCTTATTTCTTTTGTTTTCTTGGCGGTACAGATGTGAGTGCCATGGTCACCAAAGACAACGCTAACTCTGGTGAGTAAAAAATTATCTCAACACACTGTAAATGAACAAAAACATGTAATAATGTATCACATTAATAACACTGATAAAAGTAAGAGATGTTTCTTGAGCAGCAAATCAGCATATTGAATGATTTCTGAAGGTTCATGTGACACTGAAGGCTGGAGGAATGATCCTGAAAATTCAGCTTTGCATTACAGCAATTAATTTTACATTAAAAATGTCATAGCGGCGTCTTTTGCATGTGCAGTTTTTTAATAAAGTGTATACGCCCTCTTGTTCTAGGCTCTGGCGGAAAGACAACCTGTGTGAAGAAACAAAAGTGTAAAATGAACAATTCTCAAAAGCCTGGGGCACTTTACAGGGACCCACAGAAGGCTATATTTGAACCCGAACTGACCCTTGAGGTCACGGCTGACGATGCTGGAAGGAAAACAAATCCGGTCGCAGTGAACGGTGTTATAGAAACGACTGCCAATGAACAGACGTGTAACGTATGGAGTGTTTCCAATCTCCAGAATCTGAAAGAGATGCAATATCTGCACCACGAGGCTGAGGACAGTCGAATCGACCCGTCACTGGACATGTACAAGTCATCCCTCATGGGTTTCGTCGACTCCAGTAACCTGGAGAGCTCGGAGGATGTTCAGACCGTTCCGTGCATCCAGGTGGACGTTAAAACGGATGTGGTGCTGATCGATGAGGATGATGATGATCTGTCTCTAAGGGAGAGGACAGTGACGGACGTGTCCACTGCGGACGGGAACGCGGCCGAGCTTGTGTGCGGGCGGCTCCAGTCAATCTCCTCTGACTCCACCCACTCTTTATGTGATAGGCAAAGTCTAGAGCAAGGCTCGACCATTGAGACACCTCAAGAGAAACAGGAGCCGCCCAAAAAACACAAACGTGCTTGCTGCCTCTGTGTTATCATTTAATGTTTCTCAGAAAAAGGGCCAAGATTATACACTTTTCAATCATTTTTTCTTTAAAATCATTTTATATTGTTAGTCAAAACGAAGTTTTTACATTAAGTTTTTCATGACCATTTTTATCTCTCTCCCTGACCCTTAGAATTAAACGAGCTTATACTTGACATGGAAATTATTTTACTGCCATAATGTTACATATTTCCAAGTGAAAGAATATTTAATGGGGGGGAAAAGGAAAGGAAGGACATTTTATAAAGTTAGTTAGAGTTTCTTAAAGCAAAAAACAGTCATAATTAAGTTTGTCATGACCATTTATAACTCTGACCCTTACAAGTTTATTTTGCTACTGTCCTTTTTATGGAATTGTTTTCACCTCAGAATAAAAAGAAATAAATGGGAATTTGCAAGTTTTTATCTCAAACAACTTTCTCACAATTCTGAGTTTATATCGTAATTGTGAAAAAAAGTCAGAATTGTGAGATTTTTTTATTTTTTTTAATCTGTGGTGGAAAATTCATTTTAAAGTAAAAAAAAAAAAAACACTTTCCGTAATGTGACATTTCCAAGTGAAAGAGTCTTTAATGAGGAAAAAAGGCAGGGAAGAACTTGACTGTACACTATTCATCATGCCAATTCTTATTTCAAAAGAGAAAACAACTAACAAAAACAAAACCTGTTTTCCATTTGTCTTCTGTCGGAGTAAAGGCCCGTTCACACTATAAAGTTTTAATAATTGTTCTAATTCTATGAGAGTATTCAACAATAACGATAATGACAAAAAGGAACGATATCATTGGACTCACTTGAACGATTTTTCCAGCTGATGAATGGTAAAAACACTGACAGCCAACCAGAGTTCAGCTTGCTTTAAGAAGCTTGCACATAAAATGAAAATTAGTCCATAAAGTACTCGCCCTCAAGTCATCCTAGGTGTATATGACTTTCTTCTTTCAGACGAATCCAGTCGGAGTTATATAAAAAATTGTCTTTGATCTTTCAAGCTGTTTAATGCCACTCAGCGGGTGTTGTATGCATCAGTCCAAAAGAAGTTAAATAAAAAGTGCCCATCCATTAAAAAAAGTGTCTCACACGGCTCCGGGGGGTGAACAAAGGCCTCCTGTAGCGAATCGATGCGTTTTTGTAAGAAAAATATCCATATTCAAAACGTAATAATCACTTTAATGTAGCTTGCGCCAACAGTTGTACACGGAAGCAGTTCCGGGAGCATGACGTTTGAGGTCAGCGTTGCGCATGCGCCGGTCAGTCTCGTGAAAACCAATGCAACACCCGCTGAGTGGCATTAAACCGCTTGAAAGATCAAAGACAATTTTTTATATAACTCCGACTGGATTCGTCTGAAAGAAGAAAGTCATATACACCTAGGATGACTTGAGGTTGAGTAATTTATGGGCTAATTTTCATTTTTGGGTGAACTAACCCTTTAAAGTCACAGACAAAATTGCAGCGCACTTAGATAAAACAGAATTTTATTGTGCATTGGTATGGATGCTATAATATAGTTATCATTACAGTTGTCTTTATAGTTATCCTTCTTGGTGTGAATGGGCCTTAAATTAGTTTCTGCTTGAGCACAATTGCTGTGGGTCCGGTTTTAAGGTTTTAAAAGCGGAAGCTGCCAAATAGAGCAAATGTATAGGCCATTTAGGCTAATTTTGATGTTCCTCATTGTTAAGCTGGTGTTTTTCCCATGCGTCTGGCACAATAGTGTTTTTGTGAATTGTACATTTTGAATGTGTTTGTCTTTTATCGCAGTTACGCTGTAACCGTGGGCTTGTGAAATATTCAGTGCAGAGCTGAGCTTTTAAGAGGTCGGAGAGCAGTGAGCACCGCTGGAAATGTGCAGGTACTATCAACTGCACAAAACCAGAGAAAAAATGTAAACGCAGATTCTTCTAGCTATGCAAACACGATTTCGGTCAGTGGTTGACCGAAATGTGTCAGATTTGCATTATTATAATAAGCACACTCTGCCTTTAGAAGCACTATAGCTGCCAGTAACATAAGTTAGGTTTATTGCTAGATACAGTACCGTTCAAAAGTTTGGGGTTGCAAGATTTTTGAATGAAGTCTCTTCTGCTCACCAAGGCTGTATTTACAGTATTTAATAAAAAATACAGAAACAGTAATATTCTGAAATATTACTGCATTTTAAAATAACTGTTTTCTATTTGAATATATTAAAAAATGTTTATTCCTGTAATGCAAAGCTGAATTTTCAGCATCATTAGTCTTAAGTGTCACATGATCCTTCAGAAATCATTCTTATATGCTGATTTGCTGCTCAAGAAACAATTCTTATTATTATCAATGTTGAAAACATTGTGCTGCTTCACCTTTTTGTGGAAACCGTGATTTAGTAATATTGCACTTGGTAATAAACAATAATATTAATCAGAATATTTAAGTAATATAAAATTGCATTATTTAGTTGTAAAATATTACATTTCTTGTTATTATCAGTATTGAAAACAGTTGTGGTGATTAATATATTTATGGAAACCCCGATACTTTGATGAATAGAAAGGTCAAAAGAACAGCATTTGTATGAAATAGAAATCTTCTGAAACATTATAAATATCTTTACTGTCACTTTTAATCAATTTAATGTGTTCTTGCTGAATAAAAGCGTTTATTCTTTAAAAGAAGCGTTCTTTAAAAGAAAAATATCTTACTGACACAGACATTTGCAGGTAATTTTGTTACCAGTATATTACAAAGCATAGTACTGCATATGAAATATTGTGTCCCACAGTGCAGTGCACCCAATTTGACCTTCCTTTGCCAGTGTGACAAATGAGCCCAAAGTAATATTTTTACAATTTTTTGACTGATTTTTTTATCTGACTTTTTAAACACAACATTTTAATGCATAATTGGTTTAAAATTATAAACTAATCATTTCTAATGCATTCAAGTATCTTGCATGTTATTACGTTGCAATATTACATACTACTTTTTGAAACCTCTAGCATACAGCATTCTGTTTTACATACAGGAACTATTCAGTATATACTGTGCTGTATTCATTCAACACCGACTAGCATCTCAGACAACAAAACTTTTCTACAATGCCACATATTCTGTACGGTGCTCATGAGCGGCATCTCTTCATATGGCTACAATGGTGTCTGTTTTGTGTGTTTGAATAAAAGCCATTAATATGTTCACAGCTCTTGCTCTTGAGTCATGTGCACTACAGTCAGGTGGAGGAAATGGTTTCTCATCTCAGTGGAGGTTTCCGGATGAATTGAGAGAGGGTGTGTGTTTTGTTGGGAGGGGTTGCCGTGTGTGTGTGTGTGTGTGTGTGTAAGGAGAGTGATAGGGCAGAAAACGTTTATCTTTAACTCGCCACCCTCCAGAGTTGGCGCTGTAAATGTGTCACGCTTATGCACTCAGAAGTGTATTTGTACTCGTCATGACCTTATGAATGTTATTGTTGTTCTTTAGAATAATTGTAAAAAGCACTTCATTTGTTTTATTTGAAGTAGGTTATTCTTTTGTGCTTCAGAAATATGTAGACCAGAACTTGCACCTCCCAAAAAGGTAAGACAATTCATAAATTATTATCCATTATTATTATTTTTTATATATTTGTCATTTTATATTGGCCTATATTTTTTTCTTATTATTTTTTTTATAATATTTTTAAATAGCATAATGTTTTTTTTATAGATGGCTCATCAGCGGAAATTAATGATGGGTGTATTCACAGCAGTTTGGCAGCCTTCATAAACAGCAACCAAAAATAGCAATAGCATGTGGCGAAATATGTAGACCAGAACTTGCACCTCCCAAAAAGGTAAGACAATTCATTAATTATTATCCATTATTATTATTTTTTAATTTATAATTTTTATATATATTTTTCATTTTATATAGGCCTATATATTTTTTCTTATTAATGTTTTATAATATTTTTAAATAGCATAATGATTTTTTTATAGATAGCTCATCAGCGGAAATTAATGATGGGTGTATTCACAGCAGTTTGGCAGCCTTCATAAACAGCAACCAAAAATAGCAATAATCAGCATGTGGCCAGTGATGCGTCAGTTTCTGTGGCCATAAGAATGAGCAGGTTCCCTCTCTTACAGAGCGACATTTAACTGAATGTGTCAGCGCTGAGGATAACAGACGTTCATTACAAACCGCACAGAAAGCTGAGAGGAGATGTGCTTGACCTCAACTAACTCATTCACCACTATCAACAGAGTTCAGAATGGAGGAGGAGGGTCTTTAAGGGGAAATTAGGAGAAATGTGGAACAGAACATGATATTCTGAGTTCGCCGGAACAGATGAGAGAAAAACAGCGATGACTGTCGTACAAGCGGCCTTATGCTTTCTGATGATTCAAAGCCTCTTTAAAGGTCAGTATCAAACAATTAATCACAATTTGCAAATATATTTTTAAATACACAGTCACAAGAGATTGGAATAAAATGATATAATCCTTGAAATAATACAATTATTGATTGACAAAATAGTTTTTTTAACATTATATATTGTACATTTAGTATTTACAGTAGATCCAATGGAGCCCAAACATTCAAGAGTGATAATTTTTTTTATCATAAAAGAAAAATCTATAATTTTGACCCATACAATGTATTTTTGGCTATTGCTACAAATATACCCCAGCGACTTGAGACTGGATTTGTGGTCCAGGGTCACAAATATTATAAATTACAAATTATACTATTGAAAATCTTTAAAAATATATCATCTTAAAATTATGAACATCTAAAATGATCTAAATATAACATTTTAGAAGTTTGCATCAGCTTTCTCATTTCAAAATGGAAATGTTAATCCAGGGTTTTCACTCTTCTCTGATATAACAGTAAATTTCAGGTTTTAATCAGGTTTAAAAAATCCCAGATTTTTTTTATTTTATATATACAGTAATACGAATACTTAAATGTAATGCATTGCACATATATGAATAAATATTACTAAATATTGATCTTTTATACTGTGTTATTGAAGTAACATGCATTTAAATAATTGTAAATCTAACATGTTAGAAGCATGCATGTCAGTATGTATTCTCATTTTAAATTGGAAATGTTAATCCAGGTTTTTCACTCTTCTCCTCAGACATAAGAGTGAAGGCAGACACAGTGGATGTTTGTGCCTCTTGCCATCAAAACGCCACCTGTGATGATAAAACCGACGGATCTGGGGGGAAAGTGTGCAACTGTATGTATGGGTTTGTCGGCAACGGGAGGACTTACTGCCAAGGTTTGATTATCCTGAGAACTGTTTAATAGCTGAGCAACCCTTT